TCTCACATGACAATGGTTGACTGGTACTGTGTGTTCTATCCCACTTGACAATGGTCGACTGATACTGTGTGTTCTATCTCACCTGACAATGGTTGACTGGTACTGTGTGTTCTATCCCACTTGACAATGGTCAACTGGTACTGTGTGTTCTATCTCACCTGACAATGGTTGGCTGGTACTGTGTGTTCTATCCCACCTGACAATGGTTGACTGGTACTGTGTGTTCTACCCCACTTGACAATGGTTGACTGGTACTGTGTGTTCTCCTGACTCCACCTGACAATCCACTTGACAATGGTTGACTGGTACTGTGTGTTCTATCCCACCTGACAATGGTTGACTGGTACTGTGTGTTCTATCCCACCTGACAATGGTTGACTGGTACTGTGTGTTTCTATCCCACCTTGACAATGGTCAACTGGTACTGTGTGTTCTATCCCACCTGACAATGGTTGACTGGTACTGTGTGTTCTATCCCACCTGACAATGGTTGACTGGTACTGTGTGTTCTATCCCACTTGACAATGGTTGACTGGTACTGTGTGTTCTATTCCACCTGACAATGGTTGACTGGTACTGTGTGTTCTATCCCACCTGACAATGGTTGACTGGTACTGTGTGTTCTATCCCACCTGACAATGGTTGACTGGTACTGTGTGTTCTATCCCACCTGACAATGGTTGACTGGTACTGTGTGTTCTACTGACAATGGTTGACTGGTACTGTGTGTTCTATCCCAATGGTTGACTGGTATGTGTGTTCTATCCCTTGACAATGGTTGACTGGTACTGTGTGTTCTATCCCACTTGACAATGGTTGACTGGTACTGTGTGTTCTATCCCACTTGACAATGGTTGACTGGTACTGTGTGTTCTATCTCACCTGACAATGGTTGACTGGTACTGTGTGTTCTATCCCACTTGACAATGGTTGACTGGTACTGTGTGTTCTATCTCACCTGACAATGGTTGACTGGTACTGTGTGTTCTATCCCACTTGACAATGGTTGACTGGTACTGTGTGTTCTATCTCACCTGACAATGGTTGACTGGTACTGTGTGTTCTATCCCACTTGACAATGGTCGACTGGTACTGTGTGTTCTATCTCACCTGACAATGGTTGACTGGTACTGTGTGTTCTATCCCACTTGACAATGGTTGACTGGTACTGTGTGTTCTATCCCACTTGACAATGGTTGACTGGTACTGTGTGTTCTATCCCACTTGACAATGGTTGACTGGTACTGTGTGTTCTATCCCACTTGACAATGGTTGACTGGTACTGTGTGTTCTATCTCACCTGACAATGGTTGGCTGGTACTGTGTGTTCTTTCCCACTTGACAATGGTTGACTGGTACTGTGTGTTCTATCTTACCTGACAATGGTTGACTGGTACTGTGTGTTCTACCCAACTTGGCAATGGTTGACTGGTATTGTGTTTTCTATCCCACTTGACAATGGTCAACTGGTACTGTGTTTTATCCCACTTGACAATGGTTGACTGGTTCTGTGTCTTCTATCCCACCTGACAATGGTTGACTGGTACTGTGTCTTCTACCCCACCTGACAATGGTTGACTGGTACTGTGTCTTCTATCCCACTTGACAATGGTTGACTGGTACTGTGTCTTCTATCCCACCTGACAATGGTTGACTGGTACTGTGTCTTCTACCCTACTTGACAATGGTTGACTGGTACTGTGCGTTCTATCCCACTTGACAATGGTTGACTGGTACTGTGTGTTCTATCTCACCTGACAATGGTTGGCTGGTACTATGTGTTCTACCCAACTTGACAATGGTTGACTGGTATTGTGTTTTCTATCCCACTTGACAATGGTCGACTGGTACTGTGTGTTCTATCTCACCTGACAATGGTTGACTGGTACTGTGTGTTCTACCCCACTTGACAATGGTTGACTGGTACTGTGTGTTCTATCCCACTTGACAATGGTTGACTGGTACTGTGTGTTCTATCCCACCTGACAATGGTTGACTGGTACTGTGTGTTCTATCCCACTTGACAATGGTTGACTGGTACTGTGTGTTCTATCCCAATAGACAATGGTCAACTGGTACTGTGTGTTCTATCCAACCTGACAATGGTCAAGTGGCACTGTGTGTTCTATCCCACCTGACAATGGTTGACTGGTACTGTGTGTTCTATCCCACCTGACAATGGTTGACTGGTACTGTGTGATTCTACACCACATGACAATGGTTGACTGGTACTGTGTGTTCTATCCCACTTGACAATGGTTGACTGGTACTGTGTGTTCTATCCCACTTGACAATGGTTGACTGGTACTGTGTGTTCTACCCCACTTGACAATGGTTGACTGGTACTGTGTGTTCTATCCCACTTGACAATGGTTGACTGGTACTGTGTGTTCTATCTCACACAATGGTTGGCTGACAATGGTCTGACTGGTTGACTGTGTGTTCTATCTCACCTGACAATGGTTGACTGGTACTGTGTGTTCTATCCCACTTGACAATGGTTGACTGGTACTGTGTGTTCTATCTCACTTGACAATGGTTGACTGGTACTGTGTGTTCTATCCCACTTGACAATGGTTGACTGGTACTGTGTGTTCTATCCCACTTGACAATGGTTGACTGGTACTGTGTGTTCTATCCCACTTGACAATGGTTGACTGGTACTGTGTGTTCTATCCCACTTGACAATGGTTGACTGGTACTGTGTGTTCTATCCCACTTGACAATGGTTGACTGGTACTGTGTACTGACAATGGTTGACTGGTATTGTGTTTCTATCCCACCTGACAATGGTTGACTGGTACTGTGTGTTCTATCCACTTGACAATGGTTGACTGGTACTGTGTGTTCTACCCAACTTGACAATGGTTGACTGGTACTGTGTGTTCTATCCCACTTGACAATGGTTGACTGGTACTGTGTGTTCTATCCCACTTGACAATGGTTGACTGGTACTGTGTGTTCTATCCCACCTGACAATGGTTGGCTGGTACTGTGTGTTCTATCCCACTTGACAATGGTTGACTGGTACTGTGTGTTCTATCCCAATAGACAATGGTCAACTGGTACTGTGTGTTCTATCCCACCTGACAATGGTCAAGTGGCACTGTGTGTTCTATCCCACCTGACAATGGTTGACTGGTACTGTGTGTTCTATCCCACCTGACAATGGTTGACTGGTACTGTGTGATCTACACCACATGACAATGGTTGACTGGTACTGTGTGTTCTATCACCACCCCACTTGACAATGGTTGACTGGTACTGTGTGTTCTATCCCACTTGACAATGGTTGACTGGTACTGTGTGTTCTACCCCACTTGACAATGGTTGACTGGTACTGTGTCTTCTATCCCACTTGACAATGGTTGACTGGTACTGTGTGTTCTATCTCACCTGACAATGGTTGGCTGGTACTGTGTGTTCTATCCCACTTGACAATGGTTGACTGGTACTGTGTGTTCTATCTCACATGACAATGGTTGACTGGTACTGTGTGTTCTATCCCACTTGACAATGGTTGACTGATACTGTGTGTTCTATCTCACCTGACAATGGTTGACTGGTACTGTGTGTTCTATCCCACTTGACAATGGTCGACTGGTACTGTGTGTTCTATCTCACCTGACAATGGTTGACTGGTACTGTGTGTTCTATCCCACTTGACAATGGTTGACTGGTACTGTGTTTTCTATCCCACTTGACAATGGTCGACTGGTACTGTGTGTCCTATCCCACTTGACAATGGTTGACTGGTACTGTGTGTTCTATCTCACCTGACAATGGTTGGCTGGTACTGTGTGTTCTATTCCACTTGACAATGGTTCACTGGTACTGTGTGTTCTACCCAACTTGACAATGGTTGACTGGTATTGTGTTTTCTATCCCACTTGACAATGGTCGACTGGTACTGTGTGTTCTATCTCACCTGACAATGGTTGTCTAGTACTGTGTGTTCTACCCAACTTGACAATGGTTGACAATGTGTTTCTATCCCACTACAATGGTTGACTGGTGTGTGTGTTCTATCCCACTTGACAATGGTTGACTGGTACTGTGTGTTCTATCCCACTTGACAATGGTTGACTGGTACTGTGTGTTCTATCCACCTGACAATGGTTGGTACTGTGTATCTGTGTCCCAACAATGGTGACTGGTACTGTGTGTTCTATCCCACCTGACAATGGTTGACTGGTACTGTGTGTTCTATCCCACCTGACAATGGTTGACTGGTACTGTGTGATCTACACCACATGACAATGGTTGACTGGTACTGTGTGTTCTACCCCACTTGACAATGGTTGACTGGTACTGTGTGTTCTATCCCACTTGACAATGGTTGACTGGTACTGTGTGTTCTACCCCACTTGACAATGGTTGACTGGTACTGTGTCTTCTATCCCACTTGACAATGGTTGACTGGTACTGTGTGTTCTATCTCACCTGACAATGGTTGGCTGGTACTGTGTGTTCTATCCCACTTGACAATGGTTGACTGGTACTGTGTCTTCTATCCCACTTGACAATGGTTGACTGGTACTATGTCTTCTATCCCACCTGACAATGGTTGACTGGTACTGTTTCTTCTACCCCACCTGACAATGGTTGATTGGTACTGTGTCTTCTATCCCACCTGACAATGGTTGACTGGTACTGTGTGTTCTACCCCACTTGACAATGGTTGACTGCATTATGTTGCTGCTGTCTCGCCCGACAATGACTGATTGAATCAATTATCTCGTACCTCGCGCGGTAACGTTTGACTGCATCGTTCATCAGCCCATCTGCATGTCTTGAACAAATTGCATCAGAACCTCTCTATATGTTAAACGTGTACTAATCCACCCAACACTACACCAATTTACACACAAAGGTACTCAAATTTACACACATCCCGAACAACGGAGCTTGGGGTGAGGGGGTCAGTTAGTATTTCAGTAGACTACAAGTTGTGTCTTGTTTATTTGTTTTGTTTATTCTTTGTTTATTTATATTTACAGGGCAGCCATGTTCCAATGTCACGATGACCTCCTTCGCAACGACACCAACTACACGCATGATGACGTCAAAACAGCACTTGTTCATCTCGAGCAGGAAGAGCTCCTCTATAAAGTACCAACCTTCATTTATCTGTCTTTTCTTCTTCTCGTCGGCATCCCCGGCAACATTGTCGTCTGCGTCATCTACCTCAAGTTACCCCCGAGTACCCCAAGACGATTCATTGTTGCGCTGGCGCTGTTCGATCTACTCAACTGCCTCGTGGGAATCCCGTTCGAAATAGCTGACCTGATAACGGACTACTTTCTAGATATCCCTACACTTTGCAGATTAGTGCGAATGAGTAATACATTCAGTTCCAGTGGGTCTATATTTATTTTGCTGATAATCAGCGTTGATCGATACAGAAAGATATGTAGACCTTTTCGAAGGCAAATATTGGTAAACGATTCAACAAAGTGCATCTACGTGATCACTGGATTTGCTGGCCTTACTTCCATACCGGCTGTTATAGTCTATGGCCGCCACAGCCTATACATCCGTGGCCTTCAGACATACGATTGTTCGTTCGATGATTCTTTCAGTGAATACATGTTTCCTAAACTCTACCAAATATGCTTGGCACTCGTTTGTGTGATAGCAATCGTCGTTCTTATTCTGTTATACACATTCATTGTGCTGAAGATTGTCAAACAGAAGAAACGTCGAGCGACGTTGACTTCAGGGGCTCGACAAGCAGCAGCAGCAGCACGTGCGGGCAACGCTCCAGAGCGCGGAACAGACACTACCAACAGCGACACTCTCCCATCTCGCTCAGACTCACCACCAGAGAAGTCACACGCTGATAAATCCTCGACCAGGAAGGACACGAAGAAGAGAACAAACAACTTTATCCGGAGTTCCCGGATGACGCTCATGATGCTGGCCGTGACAGTCGTCTTCATCCTTGGCTACATGCCGCACTTAGGGCTCCAGATCACGCGCCAGATACTGAGTTCAGAGTTCACGGACTCACTACACTGCAACCACGTTGGACTCGCATTTTATGCCTTTTTTCTGAGGTCGTATTTTCTCAACAGCGCTGTTAACCCCATCATCTACAGTTGCTATAACAAACGCTTTCGACAGGAGTGTGTGACACTGCTGAAGAGACTGATGTGTCAGAAGACTGAGGCAGAAACCATCAATACAGTGACAGACAGCGAGAGCTAGGTATCCCACCATCTTCAAACGGAAAAAAGCACAACGCTTATTGTATGTGAACTGGGAACGTGGGGAGATACACTGGGAATATGGTGACAAAGATACACTGGGAACGTGGTGACACAGATACACTGGGAACGTGGTGACACAGATACACTGGGAACGTGGTCACACACATACACTGGGAACGTGGTCACACAGATATACTGGGAACGTGGTCACGCAGATACACTGGGAACGTGGTGACACAGATACACTGGGAACGTGGTGACACAGATACACTGGGAACGTGGTCACACACATACACTGGGAACGTGGTCACACAGATATACTGGAAACGTGGTCACACAGATACACTGGGAACGTGGTGACACAGATACACTGGGAACGTGGTCACACAGATATACTGGGAACGTGGTGACAAAGATACACTGGGAACGTGGTCACACAGATACACTGGGAACGTGGTGACACACATACACTGGGAACGTGGTCAAACACATACACTGGGAACGTGGTCACAAAGATACACTGGGAACGTGGTGACACAGATATACTGGGAACGTGGTGACACACATACACTGGGAACGTGGTGACACAGATACACTGGGAATGTGGTCACACATACACTGGGAATGTGGTCACACAGATACACTGGGAACGTGGTCACACAGATACACTGGGAACATGGTCACACACATACACTGGGAACGTGGTCACAAAGATACACTGGGAACGTGGTCAAACACATACATTGGGAACGTGGTGACACAGATACACTGGGAACGTGGTCACACACATACACTGGGAACGTGGTCACACACATACACTGGGAACGTGGTCAAACACATACACTGGGAACGTGGTCACACAGATACACTGGGAACGTGGTCACACACATACACTGGGAACGTGGTCACACATACACTGGGAATGTGGTCACACAGATACACTGGGAACGTTGTGACACAGATACACTGGGAACGTGGTCAAACACATACACTGGGAACGTGGTCACACACATACACTGGGAACGTGGTCACACAGATACACTGGGAATGTGGTCACACATACACTGGGAACGTGGTCAAACACATACACTGGGAATGTGGTCACACAGATACACTGGGAACGTGGTCACACATATGAGTGTATCCGTCTGGAGGTTTGTGTGACAAAGTGTATAAGTAAGAATGTTTTTCGGCAATTTACTTATAAAGTTGAAGATGAAATGCGAAACCTCGGCGGATATCGTGTGGTACATGGAAATACCAGCATTTCGCTAACTCCCTTTCCGTTAATGTGGACACTTGAACTTGACGAAGAGCGGGATGAGCTCAACACTGCAGGATGTGAATTGACAATAAAGAATTAGTAAGGAAGACAGTCACGCGTTGGTTGGCGGTTCAACCTACTCACTATGTAGTCATGATGATTAATGAACAATCTCACAATCTCAAACGAGTCCTAAAAGTATAGTTTACATGTTCAGTACTTTGTAAATATGCCACATAAAGAGAGATCAACATCATATGCATATTTGTTTATGAGCCACAAAACTACGCTCCTTTACGAAGTGACTGCCTTCGTGTGCCTATTACCTGCTAGTCGAACTGACTGCCCTCCTGTGCATAGTGACAGCTGCCCTATACATAGTGACTGTTGTCCTGTACATAGTCACTGTTGTCCTGACTGCTGTCCTGTCCATAGTGACTATTGTCCTGTACACAGTCACTGTTGTCCTGACTGCTGACTACATAGTCACTGTTGTCCTGACTGCTGTCCTGTACATAGTGACTATGTCCTGTACACAGTCACTGTTGTCCTGTACATAGTCACTGTTGTCCTGACTGCTGACCTGTACATAGTCACTGTTGTCCTGTACACAGTCACTGTTGTCCTGTACATAGTCACTGTTGTCCTGTACACAGTCACTGTTATCCTGACTGTTGTCTTGTACACAGTCACTGTTGTCCTGACTGTTGTCCTGTACATAGTCACTGCTGTCGTGTACATAGAGACTGTTGTCCAGTACATAGTGACTGATGTCCTCTACGTATAGACTGTTGTCCTGTATGTAGTGACTGTTGTCCTGTACATAGTGACTGTTCTCCTGTACATGGTGACTGTTGTCCTGACTGTTGTCCTGTACATAGTGACTGTTGTCCTGTACGTAGAGACTGTTGTCATGTACGTAGTGACTGTTGTCCCGACTGTTGTCCCGTACATAGTGACTGTTGTCCTTTACATAGTCACTGTTGTCCTGACTGTTATCCTGTACATATCGACTGTTGTCCCGTACATAGTGACTGTTCTACTGCACATAGTGACTGATGTCCTGTACGTAGAGACTGTTGTCCTGTACGTAGTGACTGTTGTCCCGACTTTTGTCCCGTACATAGTGACTGTTGTCCTGTACATAGTGATTGTTGTACTGTACATAGTGACTGATGTCCTCTACGTAGAGACTGTTGTCCTGTATGTAGTGACTGTTGTCCTGTACATAGTGACTGTTCTCCTGTACATGGTGACTGTTGTGCTGTACATAGTCATTGTTGTCCTGACTGTTGTCCTGTACATACTGACTGTTGTCCTGTACGTAGAGACTGTTGTCCAGTACATAGCGACTGGTGTCCTGTACACAGTCAGTGCTGTCCTGTACATAGTGACTGTTGTCCTGTACATAGTGAGTTGTCCTGTACATAGCGACTGTTGTCCTGTACATAGTCACTGTTGTCCTGTACATAGTCACTGTTGTCCTGTACATAGTCACTGTTGTCCTGACTGCTGTCCTTTACATAGTGACTGTTGTCCTGTACATAGCGACTGTTATCCTGTACATAGTGACTGTTTACTGTACATAGTCACTGTTGTCCTGTACATAGTGACTGTTGTCCTGTACATAGTCACTGTTGTCCTGACTGTTGTCCTGTACATAGTGACTGTTGTCCTGTACATAGCGACTGCTATCCTGTACATAGTGACTGTTGTTCTGGCTGTTATCCTGTACATAGCGACTGTTATCCTGTACATAGTGAATATTGTACTGCACATAGTGACTGATGTCCTGTACGTAGAGATTGTTGTCCTGTACGTATTGACTGTTGTCCTGTAGATAGTCACTGTTGTCTCGACTGTTCTCCGTACATAGTGACTGTTCTCCGTACATAGTGACTGTTGTCCTGTACATAGTGACTGTTGTCCTTTACATAATCACTGTTGTTCTGACTGTTATCCTGTACATAGCGACTGTTGTACTGTACATAGTCACTGTTGTCCTGTACGTAGTGACTGTTGTCATGTACGTGGTGAGTGTTGTCCCGACTGTTGTCCCGTACATAGTCACTGTTGTCCTTTACATAGTCACTGTTGTCCTGACTGTTATCCTGTACATATCGACTGTTGTCCCGTACATAGTGACTGTTCTACTGCACATAGTGACTGATGTCCTGTACGTAGAGACTGTTGTCCTGTACGTAGTGACTGTTGTCCTGTACATAGCGACTGTTGTCCTGTACATAGTCACTGTTGTCCTGTACATAGTCACTGTTGTCCTGTACATAGTCACTGTTGTCCTGACTGCTGTCCTTTACATAGTGAGTTGTCCTGTACATGGCGACTGTTGTCCTGTACATAGTCACTGTTGTCCTGTACATAGTCACTGTTGTCCTGTACATAGTCACTGTTGTCCTGACTGCTGTCCTGTACATAGTGACTGTTGTCCTGTACATAGTGAGTTGTCCTGTACATAGCGACTGTTGTCCTGTACATAGTCACTGTTGTCCTGTACATAGTCACTGTTGTCCTGTACATAGTCACTGTTGTCCTGACTGCTGTCCTGTACATAGTGACTGTTGTCCTGTACATAGCGACTGTTATCCTGTACATAGTGACTGTTTACTGTACATAGTCACTGTTGTCCTGTACATAGTGACTGTTGTCCTGTACATGTTGTCACTGTTGTCCTGACTGTTGTCCTGTACATAGTGACTGTTGTCCTGTACATAGCGACTGCTATCCTGTACATAGTGACTGTTGTTCTGGCTGTTATCCTGTACATAGCGACTGTTATCCTGTACATAGTGAATGTATTACTGCACATAGTGACTGATGTCCTGTACGTAGAGATTGTTGTCCTGTACGTATTGACTGTTGTCCTGTAGATAGTCACTGTTGTCTCGACTGTTCTCCGTACATGGTGACTGTTCTCCGTACATAGTGACTGTTGTCCTGTACATAGTGACTGTTGTCCTTTACATAATCACTGTTGTTCTGTACTGTTATCCTGTACATAGCGACTGTTGTACTGTACATAGTCACTGTTGTCCTGTACGTAGTGACTGTTGTCATGTACGTGGTGAGTGTTGTCCCGACTGTTGTCCCGTACATAGTCACTGTTGTCCTTTACATAGTCACTGTTGTCCTGACTGTTATCCTGTACATATCGACTGTTGTCCCGTACATAGTGACTGTTCTACTGCACATAGTGACTGATGTCCTGTACGTAGAGACTGTTGTCCTGTACGTAGTGACTGTTGTCCCGACTTTTGTCCCGTACATAGTGATTGTTGTACTGTACATAGTGACTGATGTCCTGTACGTAGAGACTGTTGTCCTGTATGTAGTGACTGTTGTCCTGTACATGGTGACTGTTGTGCTGTACATAGTCATTGCTGTCCTGACTGTTGTCCTGTACATACTGACTGTTGTCCTGTACGTAGAGACTGTTGTCCTGTACATAGTGACTGTTGTCCTGTACGTAGAGACTGTTGTCCTGTACGTAGTGACTGTTGTCCCGACTTTTGTCCCGTACATAGTGATTGTTGTCCTGTACATAGTGACTGATGTCCTGTACGTAGAGACTGTTGTCCTGTATGTAGTGACTGTTGTCCTGTACATGGTGACTGTTGTGCTGTACATAGTCATTGTTGTCCTGACTGTTGTCCTGTACATACTGACTGTTGTCCTGTACGTAGAGACTGTTGTCCTGTACGTAGTGACTGTTGTCCCGACTGTTGTCCTGTACATAGTGATTGTTGTACTGTACATAGTGACTGATGTCCTGTACGTAGAGACTGTTGTCCTGTATGTAGTGACTGTTGTCCTGTACATGGTGACTGTTGTGCTGTACATAGTCACTGTTGTTCTGGCTGTTATCCTGTACACAGCGACTGTTGTCCCGTACATAGTGAGTGTTGTCCTCTACATAGTGACTGTTGTACTGTACATAGTCACTGTTGTCCTGTACGTAGTCACTGTTGTCCTGCACATAGTGACTGTTTTCCTTGTATATAGTGACTGTACCACTGTTCATAGTCACTGTTATCCTGTACATAGTGACTGTTGTCCTGACTGTTGTCCTGTACATAGTCTGTGATGTCCTGTACATAGTGACTGTTGTCCTGTACGTAGAGACTGTTGTCCTGTACGTAATGACTGTTGTCCCGACTGTTGTCCCGTACATAGTGGATCTTGTCCTTTACACAGTCACTGTTGTCCTGACTGTTGTCCTGTACAAAGAGACTGTGGTCCCGTACATCGAGACTGTTGTCCTGTACATAGTGACTGTTGTCCTGTACATAGTCACTGTTTTTGTGTTCGTAGTGAGTGCTGTCCTTTACGTAGTGACTGCTGTCCTGTACATAGTGACTGATGTCCTGACTGTTGTCCTGTACATAGTGACTGTTGTCCTGTACGTAGAGACTGTTGTCACGTACGTAGTGACTGTTGTCCCGACTGTTGTCCCGTACATAGTGACTGTTGTCCTTTACATAGTCACTGTTGTCCTGTACGTAGAGACTGTTGTCCTGTACATAGTGAGTGTTGTCCCGACTTTTGTCCCGTACATAGTGACTGTTGTCCTTTACATAGTCACTGTTGTCCTGACTGTTATCCTTTACATAGCAACTGTTGTCCCATAAAAGGTGATTGTTGTCCTGTACATACTGACTGTTGTCCTGTACATAGTGACTGATGTCCTGTACGTATAGACTGTTGTCCTGTATGTAGTGACTGTTGTCCTGTACATAGTGACTGTTCTCCTGTACATGGTGACTGTTGTCCTGACTGTTGTCCTGTACATAGTGACTGTTGTCCTGTACGTAGAGACTGTTGTCATGTACGTAGTGACTGTTGTCCCGACTGTTGTCCCGTACATAGTGACTGTTGTCCTTTACATAGTCACTGTTGTCCTGACTGTTATCCTGTACATATCGACTGTTGTCCCGTACATAGTGACTGTTGTACTGTACATAGTGACTGATGTCCTGTACGTAGAGACTGTTGTCCTGTATGTAGTGACTGATGTCCTGTACATAGTGACTGTTCTCCTGTACATGGTGACTGTTGTCCTGACTGTTGTCCTTTACATAGTGACTGCTGTCCTGTACGTAGTCACTGTTGTGCTGTACATAGTCATTGTTGTCCTGTAAATACTGACTGTTGTCCTGTACGTAGAGACTGTTGTCCTGTACGTAGTGACTGTTGTCCCGACTGTTGTCCTGTACATAGTGACTGTTGTCCTTTACATAGTCACTGTTGTTCTGGCTGTTATCCTGTACATAGCGACTGTTGTCCC